ATTAATCTAGCTAGATATGCATTAGATTATGATTTCTTTAAATGGCTGAGAAATTAAGCTGTGCTGAATAGAATGGATATTCCTGTCTGTGTGTCTTTTTGTAACTTAAGATTTTGCCTAAAGGGATTCTCTATGTTTTGAATCTAATTACTCTGTAAGGTATTTACCATCCTGATTTTACAGAGGTGATTCTTTTTATTGTTACTTTTTTACTGTTACTTCTATTAAAATTCTTCTTTTCAAGAACTGAATTTTTTTTTTTATTTTTCTTAAGATCCAAGGGTTTGGGTCTGTGGTCACCTATGCAAATTGGTGAGGATTTTTATCAAACCTTCCCCAGGAAGTGGGGTGCAAGAGTTGGGAGGATTTTGGGGGGAAAGACGTTTCCAAACAATGCTTTCCTAATAGAATATACCCAGATAAACGTTTGGTGGTGGCAGTGGACGTCCAAGGGCAAAGGGTAAAATAGTTTGTGCCTTTGGAAAGTTTTAACCTAAGCTGGTAAAAGTAAGCTTAGGAGGTTTTCATGCAGGTCTCCACATCTGTACCCTAGAGTTCAGAGTGGAGAAGGAACCTTGACAGAAGTGGTACCTGGAGAAGGATTGCTAGGGTTTGTTGGTATATTCTGCAGAGCCTTTGCCTCCTCCATCTCCAGTGCATGCTTCCTCTCTTTTTCCTTCTCCTCCTCCACATGCTTCCTCTCTTTTTTCTTCTCCTCCATTTCTTTGGCCCTTGCCTCCATTACCATCCACATGAGTTCTATCTGTCTTTCATGTTCCTTTTGTTTTTCCTCAGCCTCAAATCTGGCTAATTCCAGCTTTTGTTGAACCATGGAGTCTGTCATCCTAACCTCTCTGTTTTTAACTAACTTTACACCCGAGAGTTAGAAATAAAACAAAACAAACAAACAAAAAAACTTGGCTTGTAAAATTTTGCTGTGCTGTAATATGATATCTATATTCTCTGATAGTGATTGTCAGCCTACAGAAAAATCCTAAAAAAAACCCCCAAAAACCAAAAACAACCCCCCCCCCCCCAAAAACCCCTAACACATCTGTCTCCAGGCAAGTAGGCAGAAAACCCCTCTAGTTGCTCTTAGGTAAAAAAAAACTTCTTCAGGTCTGTGAAGACTGGTGAATTTCCCTGCAGGAGGTTAACTACCCTGCCTTTAGGTAGAGAAAACTCCAGGTCACAAAAGACAATTCCCTTTTGTCTCTGCTCTGGCCCCGAAGCAGAGAAAAAAAAAAAAACGCTTACTGCTTTCAGCCAAAAACCTGCTTTTCAGCAGCCCAAAGGAAAAAAAATCTCTTTTCCAATCTCTGCTTCTGGTTTAAAAAATCTCAAATTGATCTCAAAGTGATTTCAAGTGAATCCCACCTCTACCACCATGTCAAGGTTCCTTCCCCACTCTGAACTCTAGGGTACAGATGTGGGGATCTGCATGAAAACCTCCTAAGCTTACTTTTACCAGCTTAGGTTAAAACTTCCCCAACGTACAAACTATTTTACCTTTTGCCCTTGGACTTTCGCTGCCACCACCAAACGTCTAACCGGTATTATTATTATTAGGAAAGAGTCTGTTTGGAAACGTCTTTCCCCCCCAAATCCTCCCATATCCATAAAGAAAGCAAAAATATGCTTTTCTGAACTTCCTTTGTTGTCTGCTTATTTTAAGGTAATGAAAGCAGAAAGACAGCGGCGGGGAGGGGAGGGGTGGATGAATGGATCCAGTGGGATCAGAGAAACAACTAAAAGTTGCAAAAAGAAAAGGAGTACTTGTGGCACCTTAGAGACTAACCAATTTATTTGAGCATAAGCTTTCATGAGCTACAGTATCCAGTGAAGTGAGCTGTAGCTCACGAAAGCTTACGCTCAAATAAATTGGTTAGTCTCTAAGGTGCCACAAGTACTCCTTTTCTTTTGCAACTTTTAGTTGTTTCTCTGATCCCACTGGATCCATTCATCCACCCCCCCCCCCCGCTGTCTTTCTGCTTTCATTACCTTAAAATAAGCAGATAGCAAAGGAAGTTCAGAAAAGCATATTTTTGCTTTTTTTATGGTTATTAGAAGAAGGTGAGCTATTCAAAGACCCCCTCTCACCCTGTGGCTGTAAAAGTGCAAAGGACAAAATAAATTCATTCAAACCAACCTGGTACATTTTGCATTAATTGTTAATGTGAATTTCATATTTCCAGCACAACAAGGAGAGTGATGGGAATTCTTCGAAGGCAGGCCAAGAAACTGAAGGAGTTTGTAAGGCACCTGAGAGCAGGTTAAGGTGACTGATCAATGTAGTGATGGGGCCTGCACGCTGTAAAAACAGAACCAAATTCAGATGGTGAGTGAGTACCACCGGAGGGCTGACTATTCCCGTGTGTAACCAGGCAGCTTAGTATGGGTTCTGCTGGTAAATCACATTCACACACCACCTAATACACTAGCACACCTGATCCCTCCAAAGAGGGGAAAATCCACCAGCTGCTTTGTCTTCTAAGGCAGCAAATGCAGCCTGGGTCTGGACAATTAGGTGCCTTGTGGTGAGTTCTGCTACTTCATCTCCTCTCACCAGAAAACCGGAGCAGAGTGTGTCAAATATTGCAAGAAGGAGGGAGCCAGACTCACTAAGGTGGAATCCCAAGGAGAACTGGTAAAAATACTTTTAAAATCTCTTTTCTTTAATAATATTCACCTAAGATATATTGACATCAATCTCATTTGATGGGGTGAGGACTTAGTTGCCCCCTGGAGGTAGGGAGTTATCTGTGTATGGATTCATACAATCCTGAGCTGTCCAGACCGGACTCTTTTGTCAGAAAGTGCCAATAGCCCTGGTTTGCTGGAGACAATCTGGTCTTTTACATCCCACCCTGGGTAACTGCTGCTCCAGCCAATATCCACGGACCATTGGTAGCCATTCTAACCAGAGCCTCGAGGGCTGCCTTTCCCACTCCTCCTGTTTCTACCGACTGAGCCTGCAGCCCCACATTATATGATGTGACAAAACTCCAATATTAGGGGTGGAAGCAGAAGCCACAAATGGAGCCTTTGGGAAGCTGGTGGCTGTCAATATGCCTCAAGCATAGTCAATAACTGAGCAACTTACAGCTGTTATCAACACACCTTTAACTAACGTCAACAGGGAAAACTTGGTAGCAGGTTCCTGGCCAGGTGTCCCCACTGGGCTCAGTGCAGTTGTGATGAACAGGCTGAGCGTGACACCCACATGGTGCCAGGATGGGGAAGATCTGCAGAGGCCCTGAGGCCACTCCTTCTGCTGCACCTGCACTGCTTCTCAGTTCCCCCCAAACTTGGCAGGCTTCTCGCAGATATAAACCTCCCGTTTGGTGCAGCTCTGCAGGCGGATGTCCCCCTTCTGTATGTATGCACAGCCTTCAGCTCCCTGGACGCGGAACCTGCCAAGCACAAGCCCCATCTCACTGCCAGCCCTGGGGGAACAGCTACAGGCTGGGGCATTTACCCCTTCTCGGCTGCCTTGGTAAGAATTGTCTTCAAAGTGCATTTACCATAGTGCATAAATGAGAGGGGGTCAGATTGACAACCCTGGGTGAGTCTTCCCTGCCCGTCATCTCGGTCATCAGTGACACCTCTGCAAAGGGGGAGGAAAACCAAAACTGAATGTATTTAACACCCACTTTGCCTGACACACAGGGCCAGGCACTGCATAGTCAGGCCCATGTTGCCAATGGTAGGTTCTTATATGGCTCCCATCACCATGTGCGTTTCTGTGTCCAGCAGGGACAAGGTGAGTGAGGTAAAATCTTTTATTGGACCAACGTCTGTTGGTGAGCGAGACAAGCTTTCGAGCCACTCAGAGCTCTTCTTCAGCTCTGGAAAAGGTATAAAGGTCACAGTTAAATACGAGGTGGAACAGATTGTTTAGCCTAAGGGTATGTCTACACTACCCGCCGGATAGTGATCGATCTATCAGGGATCGATTTATCGCGTCCTAGTGTAGACGCGATAAAATCGATCCCCGATCGCTCTGCTGTCGACTTCTGTACTCCACTGCGGCGAGAGGCGGAAGCGGAGTTGACGGGGCAACGGCGGCAGTCGACCTCGCGCCGTTAGAACGCAAGGTAAGTCAACCTAAGATACGTCGACTTCAGCTACGCTATTCTCGTAGCTGAAGTTGCGTATCTTAGGTCAATTCCCCCTCCCCCCCGCGCCCAATGTAGACCAGGGCTAAGTAGTTAACATAATATTTCAAGGGAGACAAGGTGGCCAAGCTACTATTTGTTATTGGACCTACTTCTGTTGGAGAGAGAGACAGGCTTTTGAGGCCCAGACCTCAAGAAGAGCTCTGTGTGGCTCAAAGCTTGTCTCTCTTACCAACCGAAGTTGGTCCAATAAAAGCTATTATCTCCCCCTCCCTTGCCTCTCTAATATCCTGAGACCAACACAGCTACAACTACACTATATACATATTTCAAGAGACAGTTCAAGGTGAAGTGGCCTTTTAATAACCCTCCAGTGCTAGGCAATAAAGAAAGGGAGGAAAAAAGGCAGCGGGGGGGGGGGAGGGAGGGGAAGGGTTGTTAGTGAGTCACAGATTGTCTCTGTTCAGTCCAGGATTTTTAGTATCTGGCAAACTTATGAATTTAAGTTTCCAGGCTCGCCTTTTGAAGGTGTTGTGCAGATTTCCTTTGAGACTGAGAGTCAGATTGAGTGATTGTTTCGTGCAAAGTGTTCGCCCACACGAATTAGGGTGTTTTTGTCCTTTCTCATTTCCCTATGTGAGTTCATTTGAGCGTGTAGTGACTGCCTGGTTTCACGCACATAGTTATTATTGGGCACATATACACTAGATGAGGTACACCACACAGGACCCAGGGATCTTGAAAGGTGTGTTGTGAGGGGTGTTGATCACTGTGCCAGTGGAGCTATGTCTGCAGGTTTTGCATCTGTTGTTCTGGCAGAATCTGGTGCCACTTGGAGTCAGTGTGTCCCAGAGTGGAAAAAAAAATCAATGATTTAAAAAATAAAAATAAAAAAATTCGGATTTTTAATTTAAATTGGATTTTTTTTACTTACATCGGATTTGATATAATGCTTTTTGAGGAAAAAAACCCATCTAAAGATAGTTTTAATTAAGATACATTATAGCTTAAAGATATCTTATCATGGAACAGGGATTATAAATTCTAATTCTATAGAATGAGACAATATATTAATGTAATGTTTAAGAAAAGTTTTGTAAATGAGTTCCAATAGTTCATGGACTAGGGACCCAATCTGATGGGGTTGCAGGGGCTTCGGTATAGATTATTTAGGTTAATCTTTCTATCTACCCAGTGGGACTCAGTGCTCAGCCTAGAAGACACCATAACAGATGCTTAGTTTTGCAGTACTCAAACTGTGGATTTGTGTCTCCAGAGGTAACATGTTTGTTAACCACAAAAATGTTTTAAAATAAACAAATAATATATAGAGGTGAGAAATAACAGACCTCAACCCTATTGTCTCTCTGCAAATTTGTGAACACAGGTCAATCCCTTACCTCTCTCTAAAAGTGCAAAGTTTCAAAAAGTTCAATGAATAGAAGATTGTTGGGGCGGAATAGATCTGGACAAGGATAAGAAGTCTGGAGATAAAAGTGAGAAGTGAGGGACATATGCTTTTTTGTTAAAATATTATATGTTTGCTGTTGAAGAAAAATATCCAGAATACTTAACATTGTTGTTTTAGTTAAATAAAACAATTTAAATGTCTGTCTGGTGATGTTCTCCTCCTAATACAGCATGGCAAGAAAATCCTCCAAATATTAATGATTAACCTGTTGAATTGGAGATAGTGCACCTCCCAATGACTTCATAAATATCTGTTTCAATTACCTTTGGTAAGTGAAATATCCAAACAATCATTCATTTTCTGATATAGCTGTAAAACTTATCTGAAAAGTTTTCAAAATAAATCACTGTTTAAAAATGTATAGTGTGTACCTTCTAAAAATGAAACCTACATCTGTCTCTGTGTTGTGAAGAATATGTATTAAGGTTATAACTACCAACAAGAATGCACTTTTATGTAGAAAACCATGATTAAAACGAGTCTTCCTGACTAGTGATTTAAATCATGAGGTGTGTCCTGGTCTGTGGCGTGCTTGCTTCTTATGATGGGCTTGGAGAGGCCTGGGGGCTTGTTTGAAGGCCAGCAGAAGTGCAAGTTTTCTCCCACCTCCCTGCTGGTGCATGTTTTTCTCCCACTCCCCTCATTGCGGATGTGCCCCATTCCTAGGGGAGCTCAGTCTATGTGGCTCATTCATTCCTTGGAGCCTCTGCCAGCATAGTCATGAGCCAATGAGAGCCTCCTAGCCACCATAGCCATAGCGTAGGAGACTGAGCTGCATGGGTGGTGGCTTGTGAACAGCTATCCGGTATGAGGTTTGCGCAAAGTCACCTGAATAGGCACAGCCTGGGGACACCAATAATCACAGAAGGGACCTCAAGGGTCATCTAGTCTAATCCCCTGCCAAGATGCAGGATTTATTGTGTCTAAACCACCCAAGACAGAGGGCCTCTTTTTGAAAACCTCCAGTGAAAGAGATTCCACGACTTTCCTAGGCGTCTGCTCCACAGTCCTACTGGACTTACAGTTAGGAAGTTTTTCCTGAGATTTACTCTAAATCTGGTATGCTGTAATAAACGATACTTGTCACTTTACAGCCAAAGGTCCCAGAGCACTTTGCAAAGGGGGATCATTGTGGTTAGAGCTGCTCAGAAACTACATATATTCCACCTGGCCTTTTTTTTTTTTTTTTTAAAAATTTCCCCCTAAATATTCTCATTTTGGTAAAAATGTTTGGTTTCTGAAAATCAAAACCAAAACCTTTTGACTGAAAAGTGGAAATTTTTACCACAAGCTTTTCAGTTTGAAAATTGGAAAATTTTGAAAAAAATGAAAATTTTTTATGAAAAGCCATTTGTTGCGGGAAAAAAGGTTCTGATGACCGGTTTTAACGGTTATCCCCATTTATGGAGGAGGAGCCAGTATTGAACTGGATCAGTGCCCTTGAATGGGCACAGGCAGCGAGGCGAGACGTACAGCTGGAAGGAGAAAGGGGAGCCGTCAGCCCACGTCCAGTTCCCGATGTCATTGTCGTAGTTCAGCCCTGTCCAGAAATTGAAGCTGAACTGCTGTCCCCGGTACACGCACACGCGTTTGGAGATCTCATTTTTCAAGAACGCCTGCTCCGAACAGCAAAGGACAACAATCAATCCCCGAATAATCGTTTTTTCCCCTTTGAAAGCATCTGGGTGAGAACAGGGGCTGAGTCCCTCTGGAAATCAGGCCAACGATTTAATTGTCTAAACTATGGGTAGAGGTGTCTGACTCTGTAGGCCTCCGTGATTGATAACATTGGCCTAAGTGACCCTCCCAGGGTCACGTACTGAACCAATGGAACAGACCCCAGATTTCCTGGCTCCTAGTTCCTGACTTAACCCCCAAACCATCCTACCCCTCTGTGCTGTTCCCAAACAAGAGTTCCACATAGATTATTCTTGGCAAGGAGGAATAAAAGCAGGAACCAAGGGCCCAAGAACTGCCAAACCAGAGCACAGCGATGGCCCATCTCATGCAGTAGCTCACCGCCATGAGGGGCCACTGCTGGATGCTTCACCACGAGGTAGGAAAAGACCCATAATGCATCTTGCCCACTGTACAATACAGCAGCATGGAGGTCATTCCTCCATGACTCCCCAGTTAGCTGATTTGTTTATGCCCTGAAGCACAAGGATCAATGGCCCTAGCTCTCTTATTCGAGCTCACGTTGTTAAATGCTCTTCTCATTCAGGTAGAAATTGGATTCCTTCCTAAATCTCTCTAAATTATTTGCCTCAGTATCCTGCAGAAGTGAGTTCCATAGATAGTTAGCTTGACTTTTTCACTTGCTTGCTAATTCACAAAGTTCAGTCATTTGCAATGGGTCTGCCAGTCACTAATGCTAACTAATAAGACCTAACTGTTCTTTAAATGCACTTTGTGCTCTTTAAAGGATCTACAATGACAGAAGCAGAAACTGAACTCCGAGGGCAAGCTCCCTTCTCCTCGTGCTCTGCATGATGACTTCTATAGGAGAAGAGGTATTATCTCCCATAGCCTGTTCCATCCTTGGACTCTAACGAGGATGACAACAAGCAGGCCAGTTAACACTCACTGGGAACTCAATGGAAGATGTCACTACTGACTTGGGTCTGGGCTGGAACTGGTGCATTGGAGATGACAGGCCTCATGTCCTAGCCAGTCATCCCCCCCTTCGCTCCTCCCCAGACTGCCACAGATACTAAGGCTTCGTCTATGCTGGCAAGTGAAAGACAAAACTTCTGTCATTCAGAGGTGTTAAAAAAATACCCCCCCCCCCCAGAAAGACAAAAGTTTTGCAGACGACAAGTTATGGTGCGAACAGCACGTTGTGGGCAGGAGCGCTCTCCTGGTGACAACACAAACGCTACTCATTGGGGGCGGAAGTTTTCTGTCGGCAGGAGAGCTCTCTCCTGCCGACAAACAGTGGCTACACTGCGTGTTGCCAAAAGCTGAGTAGTGTAAACATAGCGTCAGTGTGTATGCAATTGTCTTATCAGCAACCAATATCAATAAAGAAGAGAAGAGGAGGCGGCTCTGTACCAGCTCCTTCTTCGTGTCTATCTTCACCAGACTGGCCGACATTGCAGTACAAGCATCTAAGCTGTTATGCCAGGATTTCGCATTCTTAGAAAAGGAGTAACAGCTGGCTGCCTGCTGGTCCCAGTCCACCTCACACATGCTGCAGTTGTCCTCTTGAAGAAAAGGAAAAACAGACAGACTTTCAATCCTCGTTCTCCAAGATCATTTTGTTACCGGAGCTCCGCACTGCTGGGTGTGAAGGATGATGGGAAATTCCCCTTGCTCAGAATTCTGAACTGCTGACCCATCCCTGCACACGTCTTCTCACCCTGAGCAGTTCAGCTGGCCCTACTGCCTTTGACCATCAGCTCCTTTCTTCAAGCAATAAGTAGGATGCATAGTAAACTGGTATCATGAGTTCTCATCTCAGTGAGGAGGGTGGGTCAGGAGTGAGGGACAGTTATAGCCCATCTTCTGAGAACAGGAGTTATAGGGAGATGGAGACAAGAATTAGTAGGCACTGAGTTCCCATGGTGATGAACACAGTAAAAGGAAGACAGATCAGATAAAGATCTGGAACAGAGAGAATAAATAAGGATGGAAGGAAAGATAGAGAAGAATATAGGGAGAGAGTGAGAGCTTAGAGAAGGATCCAGGGAGGCGGGGAGGGATCAGAGATAGGTAGGAGTATAGGTAAAGGAGAGATTAACTGAGCGTGTAAGGGGGAGAGGGAGGAACTGGTGGATGGGTGGAGTTTTTTCCTCAGAGGCTCTAGCTGTAATTCCTTACCCTTGCCAGTTGTCAGCTGCTGCAGAGTGTCCAAGAGGACTATGTTTTCCATTTCAGTGACCTCCAGCTGTTGCTCTGATTTCTGGGACAGCTGGTAAACTTTAAAGACACAAGAAAAATCATAAGACAATGGAGTGCTCAGAGCCAGTGCATTGCTCCAGCACTGATCATCCTGGGGTGTTTTACAGCATGAGATGGACTGTGAGCATGTCGGGGTACAGTGCCACCTACTGACTGACATGGAATGTGAGGCATGGGTTTCCTCTTGCTTGCACCAATTTTACACTAGCCAAATTTCACTGATATCAGAGAAGTCATTCCTTATTCACCCCAGGGTGAATGAGAGGGAAATCAGCACCACTGATTTCAAACTGGCTTCTCTACAGAAAATATCAGAGATGGGCGCTCCCTGCATTTTATCGACAAATAATCCAAACAAATGCTTAGAACTTGCATATCGTACATTTCAGATGGGGCTGACAAATGTTAACTCATTACATGACAGATGACAGAGACCTATTTGGTCACCGGATCCATCCCCCCTCCCAGTAACAGAACCATCAATATTTACATTGGGGATATTCCAAATGTACTCAAGGCTGTATGTTTGTAGAGGGAGATCAGCAACATCTCACAACCCAGAGGTCATAGGTCAAATCTGAGGGTGTAAGGGGGAGAGGGAGGAACTGCTTATCTGTACCTAAGCAGGTATTTATACAGCCAGAGTCAGAGCCAGAATTGATTCCTTGAGGACCTGCTCCAGGATTTTTCCTGGGACTGAGGTGAGGCTGAGTAGCCTGTAGTTCCCCGGATCCTCCTCCTTTCCTTTTTTAAAGATGGGCACTACATTAGCCTTTTTCCAGTCATCCTCTGGACTTCTCCCAATCGCCATGAGTTTTCACACCAGCCAATCACACCAGCCAATTCCCTCAGCACCCTTGGATGCATTGAATCTGGGCCCATGGGCTTGTGCTCATCCAGCTTTTCTAAATAGTCCCAAAACTCTTCTTTCTCCACAGAGGGATGGTCACCTCCTCCCCATGCTGTGCTGCCCAGTGCAGTAGTCTGGGAGCTGACCTTGTTCGTGAAGACAGAGGCAAAAAAAGCATTGAGTACATTAACTTTTTCCACATCCTCTGTCACTAGGTTGCCTCCCCCATTCAGTAAAGGGCCCATACTTTCCTTGACTTTCTTCTTGTTGCTAACATACCTGAAGAAACCCTTCTTGTTACTTTTAACATCTCTTGCTAGCTGCAACTCCAAGTGTGATTTGGCCTTCCTGATTTCACTCCTGCATGCTTGAGCAAGGGGGGAAAGACGTTTCCAAACAATGCTTTCCTAATAGAATATACCCAGATAAACGTTTGGTGGTGGCAGTGGACGTCCAAGGGCAAAGGGTAAAATAGTTTGTGCCTTTGGAAAGTTTTAACCTAAGCTGGTAAAAGTAAGCTTAGGAGGTTTTCATGCAGGTCTCCACATCTGTACCCTAGAGTTCAGAGTGGAGAAGGAACCTTGACAGAAGTGGTACCTGGAGAAGGATTGCTAGGGTTTGTTGGTATATTCTGCAGAGCCTTTGCCTCCTCCATCTCCAGTGCATGCTTCCTCTCTTTTTCCTTCTCCTCCTCCACATGCTTCCTCTCTTTTTTCTTCTCCTCCATTTCTTTGGCCCTTGCCTCCATTACCATCCACATGAGTTCTATCTGTCTTTCATGTTCCTTTTGTTTTTCCTCAGCCTCAAATCTGGCTAATTCCAGCTTTTGTTGAACCATGGAGTCTGTCATCCTAACCTCTCTGTTTTTAACTAACTTTACACCCGAGAGTTAGAAATAAAACAAAACAAACAAACAAAAAAACTTGGCTTGTAAAATTTTGCTGTGCTGTAATATGATATCTATATTCTCTGATAGTGATTGTCAGCCTACAGAAAAATCCTAAAAAAAACCCCCAAAAACCAAAAACAACCCCCCCCCCAAAAACCCCTAACACATCTGTCTCCAGGCAAGTAGGCAGAAAACCCCTCTAGTTGCTCTTAGGTAAAAAAAAAACTTCTTCAGGTCTGTGAAGACTGGTGAATTTCCCTGCAGGAGGTTAACTACCCTGCCTTTAGGTAGAGAAAACTCCAGGTCACAAAAGACAATTCCCTTTTGTCTCTGCTCTGGCCCCGAAGCAGAGAAAAAAAAAAAAACGCTTACTGCTTTCAGCCAAAAACCTGCTTTTCAGCAGCCCAAAGGAAAAAAAATCTCTTTTCCAATCTCTGCTTCTGGTTTAAAAAATCTCAAATTGATCTCAAAGTGATTTCAAGTGAATCCCACCTCTACCACCATGTCAAGGTTCCTTCCCCACTCTGAACTCTAGGGTACAGATGTGGGGATCTGCATGAAAACCTCCTAAGCTTACTTTTACCAGCTTAGGTTAAAACTTCCCCAACGTACAAACTATTTTACCTTTTGCCCTTGGACTTTCGCTGCCACCACCAAACGTCTAACCGGTATTATTATTATTAGGAAAGAGTCTGTTTGGAAACGTCTTTCCCCCCCAAATCCTCCCATATCCATAAAGAAAGCAAAAATATGCTTTTCTGAACTTCCTTTGTTGTCTGCTTATTTTAAGGTAATGAAAGCAGAAAGACAGCGGCGGGGAGGGGAGGGGTGGATGAATGGATCCAGTGGGATCAGAGAAACAACTAAAAGTTGCAAAAAGAAAAGGAGTACTTGTGGCACCTTAGAGACTAACCAATTTATTTGAGCATAAGCTTTCATGAGCTACAGTATCCAGTGAAGTGAGCTGTAGCTCACGAAAGCTTACGCTCAAATAAATTGGTTAGTCTCTAAGGTGCCACAAGTACTCCTTTTCTTTTTGCAACTTTTAGTTGTTTCTCTGATCCCACTGGATCCATTCATCCACCCCCCTCCCCCCCCCGCTGTCTTTCTGCTTTCATTACCTTAAAATAAGCAGATAGCAAAGGAAGTTCAGAAAAGCATATTTTTGCTTTTTTTATGGTTATTAGAAGAAGGTGAGCTATTCAAAGACCCCCTCTCACCCTGTGGCTGTAAAAGTGCAAAGGACAAAATAAATTCATTCAAACCAACCTGGTACATTTTGCATTAATTGTTAATGTGAATTTCATATTTCCAGCACAACAAGGAGAGTGATGGGAATTCTTCGAAGGCAGGCCAAGAAACTGAAGGAGTTTGTAAGGCACCTGAGAGCAGGTTAAGGTGACTGATCAATGTAGTGATGGGGCCTGCACGCTGTAAAAACAGAACCAAATTCAGATGGTGAGTGAGTACCACCGGAGGGCTGACTATTCCCGTGTGTAACCAGGCAGCTTAGTATGGGTTCTGCTGGTAAATCACATTCACACACCACCTAATACACTAGCACACCTGATCCCTCCAAAGAGGGGAAAATCCACCAGCTGCTTTGTCTTCTAAGGCAGCAAATGCAGCCTGGGTCTGGACAATTAGGTGCCTTGTGGTGAGTTCTGCTACTTCATCTCCTCTCACCAGAAAACCGGAGCAGAGTGTGTCAAATATTGCAAGAAGGAGGGAGCCAGACTCACTAAGGTGGAATCCCAAGGAGAACTGGTAAAAATACTTTTAAAATCTCTTTTCTTTAATAATATTCACCTAAGATATATTGACATCAATCTCATTTGATGGGGTGAGGACTTAGTTGCCCCCTGGAGGTAGGGAGTTATCTGTGTATGGATTCATACAATCCTGAGCTGTCCAGACCGGACTCTTTTGTCAGAAAGTGCCAATAGCCCTGGTTTGCTGGAGACAATCTGGTCTTTTACATCCCACCCTGGGTAACTGCTGCTCCAGCCAATATCCACGGACCATTGGTAGCCATTCTAACCAGAGCCTCGAGGGCTGCCTTTCCCACTCCTCCTGTTTCTACCGACTGAGCCTGCAGCCCCACATTATATGATGTGACAAAACTCCAATATTAGGGGTGGAAGCAGAAGCCACAAATGGAGCCTTTGGGAAGCTGGTGGCTGTCAATATGCCTCAAGCATAGTCAATAACTGAGCAACTTACAGCTGTTATCAACACACCTTTAACTAACGTCAACAGGGAAAACTTGGTAGCAGGTTCCTGGCCAGGTGTCCCCACTGGGCTCAGTGCAGTTGTGATGAACAGGCTGAGCGTGACACCCACATGGTGCCAGGATGGGGAAGATCTGCAGAGGCCCTGAGGCCACTCCTTCTGCTGCACCTGCACTGCTTCTCAGTTCCCCCCAAACTTGGCAGGCTTCTCGCAGATATAAACCTCCCGTTTGGTGCAGCTCTGCAGGCGGATGTCCCCCTTCTGTATGTATGCACAGCCTTCAGCTCCCTGGACGCGGAACCTGCCAAGCACAAGCCCCATCTCACTGCCAGCCCTGGGGGAACAGCTACAGGCTGGGGCATTTACCCCTTCTCGGCTGCCTTGGTAAGAATTGTCTTCAAAGTGCATTTACCATAGTGCATAAATGAGAGGGGGTCAGATTGACAACCCTGGGTGAGTCTTCCCTGCCCGTCATCTCGGTCATCAGTGACACCTCTGCAAAGGGGGAGGAAAACCAAAACTGAATGTATTTAACACCCACTTTGCCTGACACACAGGGCCAGGCACTGCATAGTCAGGCCCATGTTGCCAATGGTAGGTTCTTATATGGCTCCCATCACCATGTGCGTTTCTGTGTCCAGCAGGGACAAGGTGAGTGAGGTAAAATCTTTTATTGGACCAACGTCTGTTGGTGAGCGAGACAAGCTTTCGAGCCACTCAGAGCTCTTCTTCAGCTCTGGAAAAGGTATAAAGGTCACAGTTAAATACGAGGTGGAACAGATTGTTTAGCCTAAGGGTATGTCTACACTACCCGCCGGATAGTGATCGATCTATCAGGGATCGATTTATCGCGTCTAGTGTAGACGCGATAAAATCGATCCCCGATCGCTCTGCTGTCGACTTCTGTACTCCACTGCGGCGAGAGGCGGAAGCGGAGTTGACGGGGCAACGGCGGCAGTCGACCTCGCGCCGTTAGAACGCAAGGTAAGTCAACCTAAGATACGTCGACTTCAGCTACGCTATTCTCGTAGCTGAAGTTGCGTATCT